TGAAGTATAAAAGCCTTCAATCTAATTAACTTCTAACTATAAGATTGAAATGTATAATTTACCTCATGTACAACATTTGAAAAAAATGTTGATTATTTATAGACATGGACTATTCTAAAATATATGCTATCTGCCTAATGAATGGATGTCAAGAACTGTGAAGGGCTTGAGATTTTTTACCCTACTTGTAAGCTAAGAAATTATCAAGCAACAATTGCATGCTGGTAGAAGACATGAGACTCGAGAGTCAGGAACAAAAGATGGTTTGTTATTCATAATAGTAATAGCTATAGTGTCAAGTTTTGGTGGGAGGGGGCATTGATTCCTAAGCCCATTCCTGTGTGGTGATGTCAGGAAAGTCAGATGACACCTGCACACTAGGTAGGCTGTGTAAAAGATAGGAACTCTGAGTTTAGGGAACTTTAATTCTTTTCACATGGGCAGGGAGACTGCCTGGCTTGTTGGTAGATCATGTGACTCTTGGTCTCGGGGTTGTAAGTTTGAGCCCCAAGTTGGGAGGTATAGATATCTTTTTTTTATTTATTTATTTATTTATTTATTTACAAATAGTTTATTGTCAAATTAGTTTTTACATAACACTCAGTGCTCATCCCCAAAGTGCCCTCCTTCATGCCCATCCCCCCCTCCCCCCACATCCATCAGTCCTCAGTTTTTGTCAGCATTCAAGAGTCTCTCATGGTTTGCCTCTCTCCCTTTCCCCCACCATTTCCGCCCTTCTTCTCCCCCTTGTTCCTCCGTCAAGTTCCTCCTAATCCTCCTATACGTGCAAACATATGATATTTGTCCTTCTCTGCCTGACTTATTTCGCTCAGCATAACACCCTCAAGGTCCATCCATGTTGCTACACATGGCCAGATTTCATTGTTTCTCATTGCCATGTAGTATTCCATGGTATAGATAAACCACATCTTCTTGATCCATTCATCTGTTGATGGACACTTAGGCTCTTTCCATGTTTTAGCTATTGTGGAGAGTGCTGCTATGAACATTGGGGTACATGTGCTCCTATGCCTCAGCATTTCTGTATCCCTTGGGTAAATTCCTAGCAGTGCTATTGCTGGGTCATAAGGGAGTTCTATTGTTAGTTTCCTGAGGAACCTCCACACTGTTTTCCAGAGGGGCTGTACCAGTTTACATTCCCACCAACAGTGTAGGAGGGTGCCCGTTTCTCCACATCCTCGCCAGCATCTAGAGTTCTCTGATTTGCTCATTTTAGCCACTCTGACTGGCGTGAGGTGGTATCTCAGTGTGGTTTTGATTTGTATTTCCCTGATGAGGAGGGATGCTGAGCATCGTTTCATGTGTCTGTTGGCCATCTGGATGTCCTCTTTGGAGAAGTGTCTGTTCATGTCTTCTGCCCATTTCTTCACTGGGTTGTTTGTTTTTCGGGCGTGTAGTTTGGTGAGTTCCTTATAGATTCTGGATATTAACCCTTTATCTGATATGTCATTTGCAACTATCTTTTCCCATTCCGTTGGTTGCCTATTAATTTTCTGGGTTGTTTCCTTGGCTGTGCAGAAGCTTTTAATCTTGATGAGGTCCCAACAGTTTATTTTTGCTCTTGATTCCCTTGCTTTTGGGGATGTGTCAAGTAAGAAGTTGCTGCGGTGGAGGTCAAGGAGGTTGTTTCCTGCTTTCTCCTCTAGGGTGTTGATAGTTTCCTGTCTCACGTTCAGGTCCTTTATCCATTTTGAGTTGATTTTTGTGCATGGTGTGAGAAAATGATCTAGTTTCATTCTTCTGCATGTTGCTGTCCAGTTCTCCCAACACCATCTGTTAAAAAGGCTGTCTTTTTTCCATTGGATATTCTTTCCTGCTTTGTCAAAGATCAGTTGGCTGTATACTTTTGGGTCCACTTCTGAGTTCTCAATTCTGTTCCATTGGTCTATGTGTCTGTTTTTGTGCCAATACCATACTGTCTTGAGGATGACAGCTTTGTAGTAGAGGCTGAAGTCTGGGATGGTGATACCTCCCGTTTTGGTTTTATTTTTCAGTATTACTTTGGCTATTCGGGGTCTTTTGTGGTTCCATACAAATTTTTGGATAGTTTGTTCTAGTTTTGAGAAGTATGCTGGTGCAATTTTGATTGGAATTGCATTGAATGTGTAGAGTGCTTTAGGTAGTAATGACATCTTAACTATATTTATTCTTCCTATCCATGAGCATGGAATGTTTTTCCATTTCTTTGTGTCTTCTTCAATTTCCTTCATAAGTTTTCTATAGTTTTCATCATACAGATCTCTTGTATCCTTGGTTAGGTTTATTCCGAGGTATTTTATGGTTTTTTGTGCAATTGTGAATGGGATCAGTTTCTTGATTTCTCTTTCTGTTGCTTCATTATTGGTGTATAAAAATGCAACCGATTTCTGTACGTTGATTTTGTACCCTGCAACTTGGCTGAATTCTTGGATCAGTTCTAGTAGGCTTCTGGTGGAGTCTGTCGGGTTTTCTATGTAGAGTATCATGTCATCTGCGAAGAGTGAAAGTTTGACTTCCTCTTTGCCAATTCTGATGCCTTTGATTTCCTTTTGTTGTCTGATGGCTGATGCTAGGACTTCCAGCACTATGTTAAACAACAGTGGTGAGAGTGGACATCCCTGTCGTGTTCCTGATCTCAGGGGGAAAGCTCTCAGTTTTTCCCCGTTGAGGATGATGTTAGCTGAAGGCTTCTCATAGATGGCTTTGATGATGTTTAAGTAGGTTCCTTCTATCCCAACTTTCTCGAGAGTCTTTATTAAGAAGGGATGCTGTATTTTGTCAAATGCTTTTTCTGCATCTATTGACAGGATCATATGGTTTTTATCTTTTCTTTTATTGATATGATGGATCACATTGATTGATTTGCGAATGTTGAACCAGCCCTGTAACCCAGGAATGAATCCCACTTGATCTTGGTGGATGATTCTTTTGATATGCTGCTGGATTCGATTTGCAAGGATCTTGTTGAGAATTTTTGCATCCGTATTCATCAAGGATATTGGCCTATAGTTCTCTTTTTTTGCTGGATCTCTGTCTGGCTTGGGAATCAGAGTGATGCTGGCTTCATAAAATGAGTCCGGGAGTTTTCCTTCGACTTCTATTTTTTGGAATAGCTTGAGAAGAATTGGGATTAATTCTGTTTTAAATGTCTGGTAGAATTCCCCAGGGAAACCATCAGGTCCAGGGCTCTTATTTGTTGGGAGATTTTTGATCACTGATTCGATTTCTTCACTCGTTATGGGTCTGTTCAGGTTTTCTATTTCTTCCCGTGTGAATTTTGGTAGTGAGTGTGTGTTTAGGAATTTGTCCATTTCTTCTAAGTTGTCCAATTTGTTGGCATATAATTTTTCATAGTATTCCCTGATAATTGCTTGTATTTCTGAGGGGTTGGTTGTAATAAGTCCATTTTCATTCATAATTTTGTCTATTTGGGTGCTCTCTCTTTTCTTTTTGATAAGCCTGGCTAGAGGTTTGTCAATTTTGTTTACTTTTTCAAAAAACCAACTCTTGGTTTCATTGATCTGTTCAATTGTTTCTTTGGTCTCTATGTTGTTTATTTCTGCTCTAATTTTTACTATTTCTCTTCTTCTACTGGGTTTAGGGCGTTCTTGTTGCTCTGCCTCTAGCTCCTTTAGGTGAGCTGTTAGATTTTGGACTTGTGCTTTTTCTAATCTCTTGAAATAGGCCTGGAGAGCAATGTACTTTCCTCTTAGGACTGCCTTGGCCGCATCCCATAGATTTTGAATTGTTGTGTTTTCATTTTCATTTGTTTCCATATATTTTTTAATTTCCTCTCTAATTGCCTGATTGGCCCATTCATTCTTTAGAAGGGTGTTCTTTAACCTCCATGTTTTTGGCGGTTTTCCAGACTTCTTCCTGTAATTGATTTCAAGTTTCAAAGCATTGTGATCTGACAGTGTGCATGGTATGACCTCTATTCTTTTATATTTATTGAGGGCTGCTTTATGTCCCAGTATGTGATCTATCTTGGAGAATGTGCCATGCGCACTTGAGAAGAAAGTAAATTCCCTGGCCTCAGGATGTAAAGTTCTAAATATATCCGTCAGATCCATCTGGTCCAATGTGTCTTTCAAGTCCATTATTTCTTTAGTGATTTTCTGTCTGGTTGACCTATCCATTGCTGTAAGCGGAGTATTAAAGTCCCCTGCTATTAGCACATTCTTATCTATAAGCTTGTTTCTGTTTGTGATTAATTGTTTTAGATATTTAGGTGCTCCCATATTTGGTGCGTAGACATTTATGATTGTTAGTTCTTCCTGATGGATGGACCCTGTAATTATTATGTAGTGCCCTTCTTCATCTCTTGTGATTGTCTTTAATTTAAAGTCCAGTTTGTCTGATATAAGTATCGCTACTCCGGCTTTCTTTTGATTTCCTGTAGCATGAGGGAGGTATAGATATCTTAAAAATAGAATCTTTAAAAGCAAAACCAAACTTCTTAAAAGAAGTTTATTTATTTTTAAGAGAAAGAGCAGGTGAGGAGCAGAGAGAGAGAGAGAAAGAATCCCAAGCAGGCTCTGCACTGTCAGCACAGAGCCCCACATGGGGCTCAAACCCACAAACCATGTGATCATGACCTGAGCCGAAATCAAGAGTTGGAGGCCCAACCCCTAAGTCACCCAGATGTCCTCAAAACAGAGCTTTTCAAATGAACAGTAAGCATGTCTGCCCTGTGCTCCAGAGGGAGATAGTATCTGGCCCCAAGGGGCATTCTTTGCCTCAAAGCAATAATTTAAGAGAGCCATAGAAAACTCTCCCAGCAGTGGGTCTGGGCTGAAATTTGTTTAGTAAATATCTTATTCATAATGCAAATTAATAATGTAAACAAGTTCACAAAGGAAATGTTTAAAATTCTTGGGAGAACCAAATTTAAATATTTTACCATTTATACCTAATAATATATAATTTAAGAAACTTCAAAAATTTTACATTACTGAAAATAAGGAGTTCTACTTAGAATCACTTTTGGTAAGCTACATGTTTTTGAAACTAATAAAATTTAACTTGAGAATATTCTGAATTTAAAATACTTAACTAATTCATCTTGTGGTTCCTCTTTTTAATCTGTACAGGGAGATTTTAATTTGTATGATGCCATGAAAAATTTATTTGTGAGAACTGTGTTGTATTTAAGTAAAATGAAAGTTTCTCATTGTTTACACCAAACCAAAGTGAACCATTCTGAGAGAACCACCATCTCCAAGTTCCTGAAAGTAAACAAATAAAAACAATTAAAATCATGTTTATGCAGAAACTAAACTATATTTGACTTAATATTTATGTTAGTATTTTTATTATAAATATTAGAAAACAATGAAACAAAAGTTAAAAATGCACTGTATATATGTAAATAAGAGAACTGTGTATTTAGCTTACTGTTAAAATTTTGATATGGTATTCATAAACATCAGTAAAGATTAATAATATATAAAGCATAAAAAAGTAAAGGACAAATGTTAGTTGAAATTTGGAAGCACGTAAAGTGTCCTGCAATGAAAAGTTGCAAATTGTGGGTCCTCATTTTTGAGTCTATGTATTTGATTTTATAATAGTGTCTCTTCCCAAAGTCTATTTCTTAATTTAGGTGTTTGGCTGAGTATCTGAGAGTGGCTCTTGAGGTAATGTTTCATAGAAAAGATCATGGTTTTCTAAGCCGTTATAAAATTTTATGAAGCTGCAAAGATACAAGAACTTGATCCATTTTCTGTTTTTTACTTTATCACCTTCCCCCTACCCCATTAAGTAGATACACAAAGAATTAATCATAGGATTCTGAAATTGGAGAACGTTTAAACATGATACCAAAGGTGAACAGTATTTGAAAAACAGTACAGTGGGGACGTTTTTTAAAGTTTGGAGATAACCTACTAGGAGTTGAAATGGTAAAGAAGAAAAGTAAAGAGAGTAGGGATGGTGGTTCGTTCTTAAACTAACATGTCATAATTAGAGACATTACTATTATTTAAAGAATTCAAAGTTACTCCTTAATTATATCTTGAAAGTTCTTTCTGCCTTTCAGAAATTTGTTCTATCTAGAAGGAAACAGGTGTGGGGTTGGCACATAAGGGAAATATGTATGTATTCATGTGCCTGTGAATCCTCCCATCCAAGTACTAACCAGGCCCAACCCTGCTTAGCTTCCGAGATCAGACGAGATCGGGCGCGTTCAGGGTGGTATGGCCGTAGACCTGTGCCTGTGAATCCTAATGAAAACAAAATTAAAAAAAAAAAAAAAAAAAAAACCTACCTGGAAAAACAAGTAACAAGAAGAATGAGAAATTTAATATTGCTGGAGGCTTATGTGTGTGTGTGCTGGCAAGTTCAGGAGATTTAAGTAGCTTTCAATTTAAAAACAAAAACATTGAAAGCACCAGCTTTTTAAAAACCGTAAGTTCCAATTCTTGGCTTATAAGCTACTATCCCAGACTCTATTTTCTCCACCAGTAGAATGGTCATCAAGAAACTTGGATTTAGCTTTTGGTCTTCTTGACTAAATGACAGACATCTTAGGTAAATTATTTTTCTAATATCTGGTTATAACTGTTGCCGAAGGCCAGATTTTTATATACTCGATATGTCATCTGGTTTAGCCATATTGTTGATGTATATATGTTCTTATGTTAAGAATTATATTTTCTTTTTTTTTTTTTTAATTTTTTTTAATGTTTTATTTATTTCTAGGAGAGAGAGAGAGAGAGNTGTTTTATTTATTTCTAGGAGAGAGAGAGAGAGAGACAGCATGAGCAGGGGAGGGGCAGAGATAGAGGGAGTCACAGACTGAAACAGACTCCAGGCTCTGAGCTGGCAGTCAGCACAGAGCCCGACGCGGGGCTCGAACCCACAAACCGCGAGATCATGACCTAAGCGAAAGTCGGACGCTTAACCGACTAAGCCACCCAGGCGCCCCAAGAATTATATTTTCAAAAGTAGGAATCTTAGAATTAACTTCTCAAGAATCTCCAAGGACTTTAAAAAAGTCTTTTCCTTTGAAGAGTTTCCTTAAAAATTCATCCTATTTGTACGGCTTACTTCAGGGCATTTCAGGATTTCTATGAAAGTGTGCTCCGTGACAAATAACATTGATTTGTGCCTTATTCAACTTAGAGGAATATTTTTATGATTAATGAAATAATGTATATATTGTATATACATTGTATAATAATTTTGTATACACAGTTATTTAACTGTAATTTGAAATAAAGTAAATTCATTAAAAAGAATTTGGAACAGAGTAAAGTATAAACATTTACCCATAGTCCCACCAGTCATATAAAATTGTGGTTTAACATGTATTTGCTTCCAGTGTCTTTTTTTCCACATATGTTTTATTTGCTTTTTTAAACAGAGTTGAAATCATATATATAATTCTATAGGTTTTGGAGGGTTTTGCCTCACTTTGAACACTTTTCATTGCTTCCAGTGTTTGTTCTTAATGGCTTAATTTTATTTCATTAAATATTGTAGCTTTACTCAACTATTCCTTTTTGTTGTTGTTAAATCTATGTTGTTCTCAGTTTACTTTTTTTTTTTAAATAAGTAACCCAGTGATAGAAAATGTTTAAAGAACATTATTAGGCATGAAGTTTTTTTCTGTGTTTAGGATTATTTCTCTGGTTTGGAGTTACAGAAATATAATTACTGGACCAAAGCTTATAAAATTTTAGGCCTCTAATAAACAATAGAATTGGTAGTTTTGCTTTCTTTATTTCCTATTTTGGGAGGAGATGATTTTGTTTGGAACAGGAAGTTGTGGTTTTGGTGGAGGCTGATCTTCATTTTATTAAGAGCTGAAACTGCTCACCCTTGACTGAATGGCTACATGTTAATTCCTGTAATAATTTACTGCAATAAAAGGGTTTTCCCCAGACCCTTATTTGATTTCAACATACTCTTAGGTGCATTTTCTAAGCCACACCCTATTGCTGTTACCTAATGTTGGGTGATACCAGGTCACTTTCTTTTAAATATACGTAGACTTTCATAATCAAATTCTGCAGACAAGTTAAGCTTTGTTTTGCTCCAAACTGGATTTTGACCTGTTCCTCACTTAATTAATACAGATGTACATATTTTTAATACTAAGTGATCATCTCATTATTTTACATTAGGTTTTCCCTAATGGTCTTTTTTAACATTTCTTATTTGGTTCAACAATAATTAAATCCTAGAAGTGTTCTATTTTAGTGAGAGAAGAAAGTTTCCTAATCTGTAGTCCTTTCATTTTACAGATGAGGAAACCAAGGCTTATATTGGTTTAGTGTTTTATCCATAATTACTCATGTAGTGGCAGACCTGGGTTAGAATTTAGTTTTTATTTCTCTGAGGTGCGTTTTCCACTATGGCTTTTTTTTTTTAATGTACTAACAAGGAACGTTCGTTCCACAGGCTACTTTATGATGAACTCCTATGATTGCCTTACTCTGTCTTTTAAGGCTCTTTTCTACCAGCATGTCAGTAGTCCACCCCTGTGTGACAGGAGATGCTTTCTTAAGCAAGTTGTCCAGTTACTCAAGTTTCACTATTAGCTGTTAACTCTGCTTCTTACATATTTGGTAATAGCCCAGATTTATTTTTAATCAGTATTCCAGAGTTGTGTTGCTTGATATTCTTTCTAGAAAATGAAATCTTAAGTTGACTATACAATCTATCAGTTACCGAAGGTTGGCTTGAGGCTTCTGGTACGTATGAGAGACAGGTTAATAGATAAGCTAACTATCTCATTGTCTAGCCTTCTCTGTGTTAAGTCAGCCATCAGAAAGGTGCTCAGAACATGTCCTCTCACCTTTCAACAGTATAGTCTTCACTGAATTGTGATTCAGTATAATTCCAGCTTTTATAGAAGACTTATAATGAAAACGTCTATCTGAATAGGATTTCTTTTTCAAAACTCTCCTTGAAGAATGTTTAGTTTCTAACACAAGCATTCTTTGTTTATGAGAGAGAGAGAGAGAGAGAGAGAGCAAGCAGAAGAGGGGCAGAGAGAGGGAGAGACAGAATCCCAAGGAGGCTGCCAGTGTCCAAGCATTCTTGAGTGTGAATCCAGTGCTAGAAAAATGTTTCCTTTTAGTTGAATTTACTGTTTGCATACTTCATAATTAAGTCATTAAAGGCAATAATAATGGTGTTTTGGAATTTCACAATGCTTTCACATTACCTAATTTGATATGGCAGTGAAGGTCCTATGATGTTGTTAAATATAACTATGCCAAATTTACAGTTTACGAAATAGGTATAAAGAGGATGTGACAGTGAGGAAGTAGTGGAAACAAGTGGAATTGAGATAGTTTGCCTATAAATCCTACATTCTTTCTATTATACCATGATGCCTCCCCAACTAAACCTGTTTCCCCTTTTTACCTTAGCCTCCACAAATTCAGAGCTAAACTCCTTTTTAATTTGTATGTAATAGCCCAGATATTCAGCAACATTTTTACTTTGCAAATTTTAATTGATCTTTGCTTTGTGTAATTTTATTTTAGATATTGTATATAAAAAATTTTGTGAACTCAACCCCAGATCTTTCAGAAAGTAGGTAGGTCAGAAATATTAAGATAAATTGGTTCATATCTATGAAGAATGATCACTATTTATGGCTGTGTTGGCCCTTTTGTTTTCTACCTAATAGTTTATCTAACTTTCCTGTTTAGGTAATAGGTTGATATATTTAAAGGTATTTTTTAAACATTATCCTTTGAGGAGAGAGATAAGTATGATACAAGTTTAGCACTAATACCATCTTAACAAATATTTGAAGATGTTGTTATCCATCAAGTAGATTAATAAGCTTTATGATAGAGGTGTCAATGAACCAAAAATTGCTAATTTTATCACACTTTTAGAAATTACATACTTAAACTTGAGTTATATAAGGTGCTCCTTATTAACATGGATAATTGTCAATATGTAAACATATTTGCATCGACATGTAAATATGGGTATATACATGTGTATGAATATACTTTATATGTAAATACATATTACATGTAAATACATATGTAAATAAATATTATGTGTGTGTATATATTCCTAATATTTACATATTGACAGTATACACACACACACACACACACACACACACACAAATACACTTTGTTCTATTCATACTGCTCTCTTCTGGCTGGAATCCACGTTGCTGGATGATAGAAGGGCAAAAAGCAGTGTAAGCAGCAGATTGGTATTATCTGTCATAATTCCACATTAAAAAAAT